AAGGGGATAACATATGAAATGTAAATAAAACATCCAATAAAAAAAAAGAAAGAACATTATTCTGTAAGCCCGTTCATAAAACTTCATCTATTCAAGAGCAATCAAAATAAAAATAAAAAAGGACTCCCAAGGTGAAAAAAAAAAAGAACCTATAGAGCTAGTGAGAGATAATGGATGTCTAGCTAGATAACTAATCTTAATGGAAACATATGTAAATATTTCTGTTGTAAACTTCTTATTCGATATATGATTGAACTTTTAGTGAACTTTAAAAAAAATGCTTGGAAAAGCCATACATTTCTCACTATGTAGGTGTCATTTGCATGGCACTGAAATGTGCTGATAGACATAACTGTGTGTGTACATCATCTCTAGTTACCAAATAACATAGGATGGTTATCTCTTACTTTACACAAGCCAAAATTAATAACTTGTAAACATTTACCCTATGTTTTTCAAATACTTTTGAAACTATCAGTGAAGTTCTTTGCATCCTTGTGGGTGACAGAGAGAGGGGAGACTTGCTTAGTTTTGAGAGTAAGTAGCCTGTTAGTTTTGGAGCCTGGACCTCCTGTCCTCCAGCTCCTTCACTGTGGCCTAGTTCATTCTTAAGATTTTCTAAACTTTATTGACACAAACTTTCAAATAAAGAAAAACACAATGCAAAACATACACACAACACACACAGGTACACAACACACACACACGGAAGAAAAAGGAAACTTTGAAAAGAGTCCCACATGGGGGTGCACACCTTTCACCCCAGCATCTGGGAGGGAGAGACAGAATGATCTCTGTGTGTTCCAGGACAGCTTGATCTACATAGTGAATTCTAAGACAGTCAGAGCTACACAGTGAAACCCTGACTCAAAATAATAATAATAATAATGATAAATAATAATAATGCAACACACCAAAATTAACCAGACCCCCAAAGTCATTATAACTTAAGGAACTTCTTACTGTTAGAATGGACACTTGAAACAGAAACTGTGGGACTTCACAGTAAACTTTGCACTTTTGGTTTTGAATATACTTTATGCATTTACCTACCACCAAAACATCCATGACAGGAGTAGAAATAGAAAAACCGAAAGCAGGTAACCAGGTAAGGGACACAAGTCATGAAAGGGGATACAAAGCTCTTTGTTTTTATTGTGCCTCAATTCAAAGAGGGCAATTCTCTCCTCAGGAACAGTGTCCTAAGACCTGTAAGAATGTTTATATCACATACACAATGTTCTACATCTATTTCAAGTAAATTAATAGAAAGGAAGAAGGCGCACATGTAAGCTACAGTGACCACAAGAACATATAGCATAACATACTGTAATAAATAACTAACAGAATGTTATTTTGGAGGCATCATCAAAGGCATTTTACATACAACTGCTACAACTAAGCAGATATTTTTCTAGTATAGTTTAGAAATAAAAGTGTAATCAGCTGATGGCTTATTTTAAAATGATTACATTGTAAATGTTAATTTTAAAGAAGAAGGAACTTGGTTGGAGGTTACAACAGGAGGATCAGTTCAAAGTCATCTTTGGCTACATAGCTAGAGGGCAGCCTGGGCTACATAAGATTCAATCTCAAAACACCGTAGTTAATTAATTTAAAAGCAAAGTGAATTTGAAAAACCATTATAGACTAGATCAGGACGAATAGCACATGTTTAATGTATAAAAGAAAAGAAAATCTTTGCTTGGCAGCACAAACATGGAAGAAAGCTTATGAAACACTTACTGATTGGTAAACCATCAAGACTTTAAGACTATGGCAACTCTTGGGAACTGCTAAAAATTACAAAGTCATGCCAGGCAGTGCTGGTGCACTCCTTTAATCCTAGCACTCAAGAGGCAAAAGCAAGCAGATTTCTTTAAGTTTGAGGCTAGCCTCATCTACAAAACAAGGTCCCTGGCAAGGTCCAGGACAGCCAGGGCACTTACACAGAGAAACCCTGTCTCAAAAACCAAACCAAAAAAAAAAACATATTTACAAAGTGAGTATGACAGTAGTTCCAAATGCTTATTTCAAAATGTCTGCAAGCCCCTTTTGTGTTGCAAGGTTTTCTATCAGCCTGATTTGGAAAAAAGGAATAGTGTAGTGCTGATATAGTATAAAGACTGCTACCAGATATTTGGTTTGGATTATTATTTTCATGCATTATTTATGGATTTTGAAGGTCATAAAATCTAAAAAATTAACTTGGTAAACTGACGATAAATTTTTAACCACTATTAAAACTACTTGAGAACTATTTTGCCTTGCATGTATAAGCTAGTGACCTGTGCTTGACTGATATTTATTCATAGGATTTTTGTCAGCAGTAGAAATGGTTACTATGACAGAATATGAATGGAACCATTCATAATTGAATGCCCAGACTCTGAGAGAACGAGGTATAGCCTTTTGCTCTCCTGTGTTTTGAAGGTCATAGCAGTTCTGAACGTGGAGCACCTTCAGAGACAGAAGGACTGGGACGGAGTCTAGCTGTGGGCGATGCAGCAGTACCATATTAGCTTGTTACGGAAACATAAATTAAGAAATAATGTTTAGTGCTTTTCTAACAAATGAATATTAAAACCTATCACTCTCCCATTCAACTTTTCCAGGTCATTTGGTTACTCTGCTATTGACTGGGCAAAATGAAACTGATTTATTGTTCTGGAAAATTGTGCCAAACCCAGACATGATCTTTTAGCCATTTTATTTCATTTCTCATGTTTTTTAAAGCAGATATAAAATTTTAACCATATTGTCTACCCACACTTTCCATTATCAGGCTTTACAAATGGCTTGACATTTCAACTGTACATGGGACTTGGTAGAGATATGAAGGTTCCTTTTGATCTTTGTGGATAGAGTGTGGGCTTTTCTTCATGAACACACATGTTGTAGTTCATAACAATCCCAATTAGCATGTAGCACTAAGGTCCTTGCCCCGGCAGGGTGATTAATTTCTTAGATACTTTGTAGAGAAATTCAACTATAGACCAACTATGTCCTGACTATAGGTATGAGTTTGGATGAGGAAAATCATAATATGAAGAAAACATGCCTGAGAACTATATTTTTAATTTTTAAACTTAAAAAATATAATTGGAGAGCTGGGCATGGTAGCACATGCCATAAATCCCTTGTCACTTGGGAGGTAGAGACGAGTTGAGAATGTCCCCAATGATTGCTGAAAATGCTGGCATTTGCTGCCCTCTCCCTCCCCCCAGGCATTATTGGTGTTTCAGTCTTAACTACAGAGAAGGCATCTCTCATATTAGCTTCTCTAGAGTTCAAGGAAAGCTGGGAAACTAGTGGGAATACAGCTAAGGCCATTTCACTGCCTTATTCTTGGGCAGGTGGCCCTGTGCTGTAAAGACAATTTCTCCTTTGACCATGCTGGGCAGCCCACCCTACCTCCTGACACCCTCCCCCAAATACATGGAATACTTGAAAAGTAAAGGTGACTTAAAGGACATCTCTGCAAAGTGATCTCCTTCCTTCTAAGCAACACTGACATGTTATTTTAAAAAAGCTTTTTTTCTCACAAGGCTTATCTTCCCATTTTGTATGTGCTGCTGGAAGGAGCAATAGATAAATACAAAGCCAGAGTAAATAACATGTGGCATGTTATCATGGTGATAAATACTACTGAGAAAAATAAAACAGGGAACAAAGGGTTGTCTGAAACAGGTGGTCATCTAAGCCTCCGTCTGGCCTTAACACATCTAAACAAAGTCAATGAGGTAAGGGAGGGTTGCTCTGTCTAGGCACCGGGGAAGAGAATTTCAGGAAAGAATACCCAAATATAAAGACTTAGGCCAAGGGCAGGCCCCGGATGTTGGCTGAGGAACAGCAAGAAACACAGAAGCAGAGAGTTGGGGGCCAGTCATTGGAAGAGGACAAGAGGAACATGTCAAATAGGCTTTGCTAGAATGTTCTAAGGATGGTCTGAGAGCCACAAGAAACCATCAGAGTAGTGGAGTCCCATGACAACAAGTTAAAGGCATTCATTTTCAGTAGCCGGTGGAGAGACCCTATCAAAGGGGACCCAAAAGATAAATCTGATAACAGGTGTCTCAAAGTTTGTACATGAAGCTACTGAAAGGGAAAACGTTTGAACCCTGGTGAAATAAAGGTTTGGGGGGAAGGATGGTTTTAGTACGATTCCGCTCAGAAAATTCTGGTCCTTCTGCTCCAGCCTTAGGTCCACCTCCCCTGAGGGTTAAGGCCCAGACTGTATGCCCATGGGATGACAGGAGGTCTGGGCACCTGGACCTGCTTCTCTTCCAGCTCATCAGGTCCAGCTCAGAGTGGACTCATCAGTATTCCATCCACAGAGTCTCTCCCCACTCACTGCTATGTATCAGGGCTTCTGTCTCCCTCGCTGAGACAGTCTCCTGAGGTCTACCCGACCCCACCGCTCTCACCTGCCCTAGTCTCCCATGCCTTCAGCCCACCCTGTACCAGCGCATACCCGGAGGCCTCTGCCAACTGCGCTCCTCCGCCAAGCCAAATAGGCTTTGCCCTACGGTGGTGGCAACCATAGATAGGTTGCATACTGAAGAGGGGGCATCCTGGCCCCGGCTCACAGGCAGAATGCCTGGTGAGGGAGACCCATGCTAAGGCATTCCTGAAACAGCTCTCTGGAGGCATTCAACTTCCCTGCCTCGCCTCAAACGTCCCCGGAGCCTCCTGCAATGCACCAGATAGCAAGGCAGACGCCGAAGGCACTTGCACTGCGCCCCCACTGGGATGCGCTGTCACCCTAAGAGGGACCGGGTACTGCAAATCTGGAGGACCCCAGGGTGCGGGGAGTCAGGAGTGGTTTGCATAGGACTCACCTTGTGCAATTTCCACATAGCCCCCAAAGCCTTGACTTCGTGGCTGGAGTGTTTGCCCTCCTCCAGACACTGGTAGCACACGGGCATCTTGCATTGCACGCAGTACATGCTGTGGTTCTCCAGCTCATGGTCTGTGCAGGTGGAGACCTTGCGCGGGCTCAGCCGCCGGCTTACGCGGCCCTGGGCCGGGGGCACCAGACGGTGTTTGGCTAGGGGACCCCGGGGCGGGTGGCAGCGCAGACGGCAAGGGTCGCAGTAGAAGACGTCGCACTGTTCACACATGACCGTGGCTTCCTTGGGGGCCTTCTCGCAGAGCTGGCACTTGAGGGCCGCGGCTTTGCTCTGTTGGTAGCGGTCGATGACCCCTTCCAGGACGCGGTTTTTTGGAAAGCCACGGAGCCCCCGGTCATCCAGAATGAGGCTGCGGTGGCACTGGGGGCAGGTGATGCAGGAGTTGCGGGGCACAGGGGCCAAAGCTGGTGACAGGTGGGTGGGCGGTGGCGGCATAGCAGGGGGGAAAACGCGGACGCCGTTGGGCGACTTCTGGCACGGGGTAGTGGGAGCGCTGGCGAAACCTCCGTAGGAGCCATAGCCGCTGTCCGCCTCGCTGTACAGGCTCATCTTGTCCAGGTCCAGATAATCATAGTCGGAAACCCCAGAGCCCGAGGCCCGGCGGCTCTGGGGGGACTCGGACTCCGGGGTCTGCACCAGGATGTTGCGGGCGCACGCCTGACATAAATTGTGAGAGCAGGGCAGGATGATGGGCTCCCGATAGAAGGACCCACACACCGGGCATTTTAACTCTTCTTCCATCTCTTCCATGGGGACCTGGCTGGAAGCGAGGCAGCAGCGGCTGCAGTGGAGGGGGCCTGACCTGGCGTGGGAGCCGATGGGCCTGTGGTGTCCAGCACCTTGGCCAGCGGCGGCGGTGGTGGCGCCTTCCCGCGTCGCCTAGGCGCCTACTCCCCAGGACGCGCTCTCCCTGTGAGCCGCGGAGCCTCCGCGCTGCGCTCCACCCCGGGCCCGCCCCCTTCCCGCTGCTAGCCCCGCCCCTCCAGAGAGCCGAGGCTCAGCGGACGGCGACCGTGAGAGCTGCGTTCTCATTGGCCTTCCGTCCTGTCCGTCTCTTCTCCTCTGCAGGCCGCAGGGGTCTCAGTGAGTCGGAGCTGGAGCTGCCACTTCGCCTGCTGGCTGCCGCGGGATTTTGGGAGGGGGCTGGCGCGAGCCGAGAAGGAGAAGTGGGGCGGGATGATTCATTCCTTCCCACCCCGCCACACGCTTCCTTCTGAGCTCGGGTGCAGTCACCCCGTAGCAGGGGGCGTGAGAATCCCTCCCAGTTGCGAGTGGGCTGCTTCTGCTTGTCGCCGGCGCTTGGCACTTGCCTTCCAGCTCTGGTCTGCGCGGCGACCCACCCCTTCTCCTTCCGCTGCTGGCGTCGAGCCAGCACCTCCCCCGAGCCTTCTTGGAGGCTTTTGGGCTTTTCTCCAGCCCTCAGAAGCAGCTGGAGCGCCCGCATCTCTGGTGTTTAGGGGAGATGGTTGTGTGCCATGGCTGCAGTGCCCCCTTCCTGCGCCCCTGGTTGCTTTTTTCCTACTCCGAGGCAAAGGCTCAGCATTCCTCCAAAAGCTGTGCCACCATCGCTACATGCTTTAAATGTGCGGAGGCCCTACGCCTTGGAGTGAAGGTACCTCGGTCCCTCTCACCCTCCCCAGACTCCCTAAGTTCATCCCTCAGCGTCTGGCTGGGTATTCGAGAGGCCCCAGGAGCCTTAGTTGAGTTGAGGCAGGCAGAATTTGTGTATTTCTGAGTGTTTATCCTTTGGTAACTAGCTATGTGAACGAATATGGGGCTGCAGATTCCCAATGTTTGATTCCAAACAGTATTATCCAATGTCACATGCCCTTAGCATCTACCATAAATTCCAGAAAAGGGATGGGATGTTATTTCTGCTTCTGTGAGGTAATGAGCGAATCTAATGATAGCCCTTATATTCTAGCCGATTTCTCTTTTCCCCAAACCGTGCTTGAGATAATGGGTCCTGCCCCTTGCCTGTATAATCCTTGAAATGACAACAACGATAGAAAGATATCAGCTTGTTACTCAATGGGTAGAATCTTTGAATCCAATGACATTCAAAGGAAGTAATTTATCTTGGGGGCATACATAGTTAATTTTCTGAGTGATTCATGAAGCAAATGACAAAAACGGTTTTCAAGTTCCGTGGGAGCTTCCAAATTTTCAACTTTCAGAAGATGACGATTATTCATAGCTTACTTTATAATTCAAAAGCACTTTTGCCCTGAGAAAAGAAGTACTTTCTATGGCCTTGATTTTGGAGAAATAATACAAATAAATTGAATTATCTTGCAAATATATATTTTTTAGCACAATGACTACAGTAGTTGATCATTGGTTGTGTGGGAGGAAAATTCACATTGTTATTTAAAACTATGTTAGTCACAGATCCTACAGGGTTTATTTCTAACCCAGATTTTAATTAGTTGAGACCAGAGCTGCTAATGCTATATGCTGTCTGTTTATAGGCAAAGTGTTTCTTAAGATTTGATTGGGGCATTATCTATATTAGTGCAGGGTATATAGACTCAATCCAAAGACACTTTTCTCATGTTAAGTAGTTAATTCTTACGAAATTGGTAGAAAGGGGCATCCGTGCCCTTGTATGTTACAATCCTTTCATGTATTTTGTATTCATCTGCACAAGTCAGAGAAACCTTGGCTAGCAAAGTAAGGAGCTGTCATTCTTTTTGAGTCTGGGCTTTGCCAACCACAGTGCACCATGTAAGAGGTCTGGTGATTAGCAGACAGGCTGTGCTTGGTTCACAGGAAAGGGTGGATAGTTGGAGGGAACGCCCAATGGTATGATTCGGTGTCAGATACAAATAGCCTCAATACAATGCAGATTTATAGAACAGTTGATCAAATAGGAAATAGCTTGAGGTGAATTAACTGTTAGATCTGTTTGGTCAGGAACTAGCATATCAATCACTCCTAGAGAGCTTTCCAAATGACTGCTTTTTTGTTGAGAAGGCTCCTCTTCCAGACATCATGACTTGAATCAATCCCTGGAATAAGAACACATAGGCACAGTTATCCCATTTGTCAGATTAGTGGACTGAAGCTAAGAAAACCTACTAGAGGAACCTTTCATGATCCAGTACTAGTGAGGCTAGCATTGGAACCCAAGAGTGGAAAGGTTAGAGTTCCTTTTCTTCATTCACCAAGTAAATACTGAGACCATATTTTGTCAGGTTCTGGTGTATCAAAACCTGAAATGTTAAACTTTTGCAATCTCACTTAGCTTTTCTGAGAGAGTTTACCATTTTTTTTTAAATTAATTTCTCTGTTTTTGTTAGGCTTTTGAAAATGTTCTCTCATGTTGTACTACCTGACCATAATGGACTTTAAAGCCCACTACCCAAGTTATCTTTAAAGGAGAATTAAAAAATCTGAATGCCATTGGTGACATTGTAAAAATGCCAGCCCACTGGGAGACTAATTTTCCTGTTCCAGCTGGCAGCTGACCGAGCCCTGGAGTGTGGGATTGCTGGTCCTGTAGTTTCATCATCCCTGGTAATGACTGCAGATGTTCTCATTTGTGTAAAGTGCCGGATATGATCCCATGAAACTTACTATTCACCCAAATGATGCTCTTTAGCAATGAGTTGAGCAAATTAGAAGTGCACTGTCAGCTTTTCCACTTTTAAAGGAAAGATGACTGTTTTCTAGTGAAAAATACAATTGCTTTTATATTCTTTTTAACTGTAATGCTTGATGACTAATTCTATATTCTCTTTGAGTTAAAGAACAAACACAAGGAAGGAAGTATTTCCTCATTTAGAGCCATTTGTCTTTAGATGTATGGGTGGTGGGGGAGGGGTGGTTTTCAGGCTCCTCCTTCAGCACCATGTCTACCTGTGTGCAGCCATGCTTCCCACCATGATGATAATGGACTAAGCTTCTGAACCTGTAAGCCAGCCCCAGTGAAATGTTTTCCTTTATAAGAATTGCCATGATCATGGTCTCTTCAAACCCGTAGAAACCCTAACTAAGACAGGACCCCAAAATGGGAATACTTAGAACAATAGCTGGTAGTGTCCACTTTCTGGATTAGCTGAAACCAGCTTCAGGGCTTTCTTCACTTAGGAACTGTTCTTAGAATACTCAATGATGGGGGTCCTTAAACCCTGATTCATATTTATACATGTTATTCATCTACTTATAACAAATTGAATTCTGGGTAAAATGAGCTTCACAGAAAAAAGCATACCCCTTTCCTGGAAGTGCTTACCCAGGGAGAGGCACAAGGAGAAGAGACTGACAGTCCCTTCTCTGCCAAAGATGAGTCATCATTGCTCAGTGCAGCTCATGGCCTTTTCTTTTTCTAAAGAGTGTATCTTGCTTCCTTGCCCGCTCTAATTAAACTTTTGAGGTTTACATCTACTGTTTCCTATCTGAATTCTCCTCTTTCAGGCGTATGAGAGCTGAGTGTTACTGGCATAGAGACCAGTGAAAAGTAGAGATGTTATACACATTGGATTAAAAGAGTACCCACCAAATATTGTTAATTGAGACAAGTAGTTTGCATTGGAATTGTTTTACTGTTGTGTTGCTGGGACAAGAATACAGAGAACAGCTTACAGGGAGGAATTATTTATTTTACTCACCTCACCACTTCAGAGGCATTGGTCCACCATGGGTAAAGAGTGTAGCAGAAAAGAACACTCACATTATGGCTGACAGAAAACAAAAAGAGAGACAGGATGGGACCGGGGACAAGATACCCCCAAGGGCCCTCCAGTGTCTTGTTTCCTTCAGGTAGGTCAAACTTCTGAAATGCCCAGAACTTTATAAAATATCATTGACAATGCCCACCCACCCCCCAGTTTTAATACATATGCTTGAGTGGAGTATTTCATATTCAAACTATAACAGGAATCTGGACAAGATACCAAAAGGTTTTGGTAGACTTGACAATATCCCTCTTTAAAATCTCCATATTTGCATATATCTTCATATGGTTATATAACTCTGTAAGAACTTATTAAAACATATACACCAAATTGTAAGTCATGATCACTTGAAGATTCTAGGCTGGAGGGATGGGGTACAAGCCATTCCAAATACCCATTTCTGTTTCCCTAGAAACTAACTTGAGATAACCAGAAATGTGAGGCTTACATGTTCCTGTAACACTGGACAGCTTAGCATGGCTCATATAGTAATAAAAGAAGAAGATTGGAGGAAACGGGTAGAAGAAGGCCAGGAACATGAGTCTTGAAAGAGCAAAGTAGGTGCACTGTGTCTTATGGCTTGTAGTTCCAACCCCTGTTAGGCATGACATTAATTTGGTTTCTCTTATATACCATGGGCCTCTTGGTATCTCTGCAATAAATTTTACTCTCCTGATTAGCTTAAGTTTGGCTTTCTTCTTTGTAATCAAAAGTCCAAAACAAAGTTAGTTAATTAGTCACATTTTAGCTATTTACATCTTTACATCTCGAGTGGGGCAGATGCTGTTGGTACCCTGCCTGGTTTTTCTTGACATGTACTTTTTCATGATAAAGACTATCACAAAACTTCTGTGACCCTCTGAAGACCTTTTCTAGCCTGAGAAGCAGACTCAGTCCACATACTGGGTAGGCTGAGACTTCAGGGAGGGAATACTCTTAGAAATACCACATGGGGCCAAGGAGAGCACTCAGTTTATAAAGTGCCTTCTATGTAAGGATGAGAGCATGAGTTTGGGTCTCCAGAACTACCATAAAAGACAAGCACATTGGTGTGTCTGTCCAACATAACAGAAGGCAGAGACAGGCAGATGCCTGGGGCCCATCAGCCAGCATAGCTTAACCTATGAGCTCCAGGCACAATGAGAAACCCGGTCTCAAAAATTTAAGAGGAGATTGATTAAGAAAGATACCTCAAGTATGTTCACACATATTAGTTCAACCAAACACATGTATACCTATGAATATCTCTCTCTCTCTCTCTCTCTCTCTCTCTCACACACACACACACACACACACACACACACACACAGAGAGAGAGAGAGAGAGAGAGAGAGAGAGAGAGAGAGAGAGAGAGA